TGGTTCTTCCTTCGTTGGGTGCGCTCGCTGCCGCACTCAGCCCGTTGGTGGGCGGCGGTACGTTCTTGCTCATTGGGGTCTCCGTTCGAGGCCGTTGGGAGCACTCTAGACCCGTCTGTACGTATCCTTGTCGTTGGCAGATTGAAGTGCCGTTCTGATGTGGATAGGGGTGGTGGGACGATCTATTGCTCAATACACTGTCTACGCCTGCTTACTGTGCGGTGAGTATCTCGGTGGTAACCCCGTTTCTACCGTTGTGAATGTCGGCGGAGTGGAACCTCGCGATACTGCATCTGTAGACCGCTTGTATGCTCCCTTCGTGATCCACGTAGGACTCGATCATCATAGTTTCTTGTGCAACTCTTTGTTGCTGCCCTCGTCTGTCTGATAGGCCCGAGGAACCTTTCTGTTGGCAGCATCCGCCTGTTCTCCTATCTCGTGCATTTCCATGTGGGGCTCAGGAACTTATCCTCCGCAAACGCTCCCATGCAATGCAGTTATCTCGGCCGCGTGTTTCGCCTTTTGTGATGTGTGTTGGTTGTCACCAAGTCTTTCTTTGAACGGTTACTTTGAATTTTGTGCCCTTGTGTCTCTGGCCGCGGGGTGCTGATAGCCGACATCGAATATCCTATTTTCTCAGGATGGCCTCCTTGCAAGCTACAACGTGTTTCGACACGAAAGTCATCATGGTACATATTCCATCGACTCTAGCAATTGCATCATTGTACTTGTGACTGACAAAAGTAAGCTAGGTGCAGTGATGCGGTGGAAATACTCTACACGCCGGTCTCCGATTCCCTACAGCACGTCGGTCTTTCTACCCGGCAATACCAGATACACTCGAGTGTCCCTCACCGGAGAGGGCCCCACAACGAGAGGCGCAATGATTCATTGTCTGTCGAGACCTCGTGCAGTGATGCTTTATTCGCTTTTCGCAACGCCAGCTCACCAAGGCATTCGGGTAACCCTAGTTGGCGCAATACGCGGTCGTGTTGTGCTCCGGCCGCTCTAGCCTTTGTGCTGCGCATGTGTCTGCTGCCGCTAGTAGCTTTGCGCTCGCTACTTCCTCTTGCGGCACGGTTCGACTCGAGGATCGGCATCCACGCAGCATCCTGTTCAAGGCGTCTATTACTCCTTTGGACAACTCAGTCTTCACTCAGTGTACGGCGGCATTCTCCTCCGGACAGTTTGAAACTACTGGCTGAATGATACTTCGCAGCGAAGGGTAGCGACCGCCACAATCAATAGGCGCTATGGAGATGCTCCCGGACAGGTACCCATGGTAGTGTCTCGCAATTCGCAAGTGCGTCGCCCATGCTGGCACTCGAGGTACATGGGGACGGGACAGCTGCGTCCAAGCTGCGTCAGCCGCGACATGTGGTACGTACGTTGAGCCGCCGGGCCTTGTGGCAGAAGGTGCTGTCGACGGGTCCCACAACGACCAACGAGATCTCAGAATCTGTGATGGTGCGGGGTTCTAGGGTGCTGATCTCCAATAGTCTGGACCCGTGGTTCATTTGGGCCGGATAAGCCCGCTAGGCATGTCATATTCGTGCACTACTTTGACCAAACTGGTCCAAAATCCGGCGAACTCGTATCAATTCTGATGACGCTGTGCCTCCCGGCGTGCCTCCCCTAGATTCTGCCGGCGTTGTGCCCGATGCCCTTCGTCCAAGATTGCTTCGAGCCTCCGCAGCTGTTGGTGCGTATCTGAAGCCTGCGTGACTGCCTGAAGATGTTCTGCTTATCTCCAGCGACGAACACGTCAAGATGACAAGACGACGTCCGCATGAAGCGTCATGGCGCCGTTCGAAAACCTAGGTCGTCTGCTGCATTCAACGTGCGTCGGTAAGGTCCCAAACAGTACAAAAGCGCTTGCCGCGCCCCCTAGAACAGAAAGACACGCACCCTCCACGCGGCTTCTCCAGGTTCTGAGATCATTGTTGGCGGCATAACGCCCGGGAGGACTGTGTCACGCCGCCAATCACAATAATTACTAATTTTGTACCTCAAATTCCAACATTTCCACTGGAAAGGGCCACAAAGCCCGCGCTGTCGCCCCCTCATTGGTCCGTGCGCAGCGTCGCTAAGGGTGATTGTCATATCTTTGTATCACGGAGTTTGCGGCGAAGTGCGTTTGGAGGGAGCGGCTATGCACCTAGAATCGGAGGGCGCGATCCAGGCCTCCCCGCACGACCCTTGCATTATTCTGGGGGACTTTCCACGCTATCCACCGCGGCAGGCGGTGCCCAGAACTCGATACACCAAGTCACGTAACCGTACCTGCCTAAAACGAGGTGCTTTCTTCCTTCCCGCCATCCGCGCCACGTCGAGTTATACTTAAGGAGCCCGTCTCAGGTCTCATTGCCCCGTTCCCCCAGCAGCCGTTGCGAGGTAGAGTCGTCACTTTACTCTCCAGCAAGAACTCGACCGCTCGTCACTTGTCTTATAGTCTGACATTCCCCACTTTGAGATATCTCCCACGACCGCACCCGCTCTCCCACTGGTATCAATGACGCTCATGACTTCTTACTTCCGCAACTGGTTCGGTGGCTCGAGCAGCACCGCCAGCTCTTCCAAATCTCGCTCTCGCTCTGCGGGCCCGCCCCCAATCTACGCACCAGCTCCTGGCTCGAGTGCCAGTGCGAACGTACAGCGCAGCTACAGCTTCTCTGCATCGCGTGCCACGAATCCTTCGCCGCTTCGCTACGCCACCGGCACCGACACACGGACAATGCACGGGTTCGCCAAGCGCAGTGCTGCTTCACCTTACGCAGAGCCCCGCGCGAACAGCTTGCGACGAGCAAGCTACAAGACGCGTGAACCTGGTAAGTTGTGCTTTCTTTATTTGACGAAGCTCTCACTCAACTCTAGCGCTAGCAGTCCACTATGCTCCGTATGCCTCCTCGGGTGGGCACAGCATCTCATCTCAGTCACGGTCGAATTCAAGCAACTCGCTTTTCGGTATGGGGGCACCCCAGTCGTCCAGCTCGGACATCGGTCACCAATACGCTGGTCGCTCCTCTGGCGAAATACGTCCTCCCTTGCGGCAGAACCAGAGCTGGCAGTCTGTTGGCACTGCCTCTTCTTGTACGTGCCCGTTGTGCGATATGATGAGCTATCACTGACTGAGAACCTTATCTAGACGGCTCAGTCCCTGGCGTGCCGTCGTCGACGCAGTCACACTCCAGCAGCTACTCGCGGCCGCGAACGCCTATGCTGCATATGCACCCGCTGCTCGCGTACACGCGCCTTCACCACGCACCGCTCACATACGACATCACCTTCACTCCTTCCGCACGGACAGTCCTCGATCGTGCAACCCACTCGGCCATTCCGTCGCATACCCTTGCCCAACCTGCCACGGAGCCGCCCATGCCTTCGGGCGCCCGTCTCGTCCTCCGTTCATCGAAGTTCCCATGGCCCGTCATCGTATCTGCACCGCCGGCGACGGCTTCGCCCGGTCCTCGATTCACCGTGGGACCTCCGAAGATGGGCACAATCACGAACCTCGACGTACTTTATGCTGTGCATACCACGCTCATGACGCCCGTGACACCAGAAGAGTGGGCAGCGCTTGGGAACGGCAGCCGCGCGCAGCACAAGGTTGCTAAGGCATATGAGCGTCGTTGTACACGCATGGGCGGTGGCTGGGAGGCCGGCGTGCGCCGTGTTGACTGGCTCGGTGAGAAGACACGGCTCGTTGGCGTCGAAGTCGACAAGAGCGGCGGCGGCGGCGGCACTGGCAAGCTTATATTCGAGAAGCCGTGAGGCAGTTCGATGCGCGGCTTGCTTCATTCTTCCTGATTGCATCCCCCTTGGGTTTCTGGTGATCTATTGGTCTCTTCGCTGGTCCACAACCGGCGTAAAACATTTGCAGGTATTTACGTGTTCGCCCGTCGTATGCTCTGCTTTCTGGTTTCGCTTTCGCTTTCGATCGTCGCTCTCTCTACATTGGTCTTCCGGTGATATATGACGACCTCACGCCCGCACTCACGACGTTATGCTTATGATCCATCTGTACTTTACCCAACAACTCACGCACGAACGATGAACGCATTCGCATTTAGGACGTTTGTACTTTACATCCATCGTGCACTTGTATTCCATGTGTCCATAGTTCTGTAGTCGCCTACTCGCAATGCGTCATCATATGCCTATGCATATTATGCACTCCATTATTGATGTACCAGCAACTTAGTATGCTAGTGCGGCGCCCCTCTGTCTGATGCTCCAAAGGCGAAGCACCATTCGCTTAGATACGAGCAGTCCGTAGAACATCGGAATGCCGAGGGCATGCGGTGTGTACGACGATGCGTAGCAAGCCGCTAGAAGTGAGCAGGTGTCCGAGTCGGACGTACAGTAGGCGACAAACAAGCTTGTCCTGTGACCACCATCTGCCGCCCGTTCTGCGCTGCAGCACGTAGGTTGTTACCCAGTGTCCACACTTCAATCCCCACGACGAATCCAAGAAGTCAATGGACCACCTGTGCACCACCCGATCCCTGATCGCGGTGCACGTCCTTCTCACCGTACGTGACGTACCCCAGAACTGTCGAAGGGAGGATCAGCCACGATATAGAATTAGAGCGGGACACCTGACATTGAGATCCGGCTCGCTTCGGTGCGGCGATGACGGCGTTGGCACGAAGCAGGTCCCTGAAGGGTACTAGTAGGGTGCAGTCAGCTCAATGGTACCATGCGCCAACCATCCAGTCCTCGGCTAGAGGCACACATAGGTCACCTCGCACCCGAGTCAATTGAGAGATATGTGGCCAAAGCCGTGAGGGCGTGTTCCGCCTATGGTCAACCACCACGGGACCTCGAAGCCTCAACCAGGGACATACCTATCGGACGTACCCTGTTTCATACAACGGCATCTGTTGGCGGAGAAGTTACGACTGTATCATATTTGCGTGGAGAAATGACGTGGCGTACCTCATGGCAAGAATAAACTATCAAGACGATGAGGATTGGAGACAAAAAACAAAATAACCAACTGCCTCCTACCCGAGTCGAACGGATGACCTCATCATTTCGGTCACGTGACATGACGAAACAGCCTACGCAACTTACTAGTGATGCGCTCTACCACTGAGCTAAGAAGGCTTACAATTTGATCCCAAAAACAAATATTGATAATGTGGGGTTTTCACTACCCAGCGCAGCCTTGACCGACCGACTGCTCCTGGACGTCCTTATCCTTAGCATGGACCAATTCAGTCGTAGAAGACCCTCTGTTATACACTCGATTCGCGACCACACCATAGGGTAGGCAACGTATAGAATCGCTTCACAGGAACATACAATATATTGGGAACCAGCGAATGCTCTAGTAGCTTCAACTTGCTTCAATACCGATATTCGAATCCTTGAAGGCAAAGTGATCTCATCATCAGTCTCGGAATCCCAAAAAAATGAAAGGGAGACAATATGATTACCGCGATTGGGATGTCTGGCGGCGGCGTACTGTACAAGCCATCGGTATGAGCAGCGGTTGAAGTATCTACTAGTATACAGCGAGGAATGTCCGAGCGGGAGTGATCGCTACATGAGAGGGGATTGTACATTGACGTAGACCTGAGAGAGCCATTGTCCGATATAAGTAAGAAGATGGAGAATACACGAGCGTCCAGCGCGTTCGATAGAACGAGTCCAGAGATCGACAAAGCAAGGAAGAACGAGATGTGGCGACAAGCGAGATTTTGGAGGAGATTATGTTCAGAGTCGGGCGACGGGGATTTTGCACGGAGAGCGCGTCACTGATAAGAAGAGGCCCTTTAGTGTGTGGCGAGGTGGAGTTCACAGTAGACGGCGCCGGAGGATGCATGCGTGACTTCAATGCCGCTGAACATGACCCTGGGGCCAAGGAACATGTATCGGCGAGGTGTGCGTGACATGGAAACGCTCCGTTGGGCCTCTTGCGTGAAACACCTTGTCTCGTGTTCCGTTGCCGTGTGGGCCATGGCGGACAGGATGCCCTCGAGGACGTCCCTCACAGTGACGCCGCTCCGCTGCCGGGCGTGCACTTCGAAACGGAACGCGCCGATGACGCTGATGTAGACAACGCTCGTAGGAGGCGTCGTGAACGTCTCGTAGGTGTCGCGCTCTGAGTATGGCGCCGCGAACCGGATGCTCGTGAGTGGCTGGGCGATATTGAATCGGAGTGTCTGCGGGCTAAACACCGGGCGGATAGCGTATCCAGCAGAACCACGTTGGCCGCGTGCTCTTTCCGGGGTTGTTGGCGGGGTCATGAGTCCATCTAGGGCAACACGCCGACGAATATCAGTAATCGGTCGGAGCGAGACGCAGATGGGAAATTGCCGTACAATTGGCTTGAGCGGCCGGAGCGGCGCCGTAACCCATCGGGTACATTTGAAGCGCACCGACCGGCGCGCCGTACCCGGGGAGTGCGTGTGTCGGCGTGACGGGTGACGGTGGCAGGTCCTTCGTGCTCATGTATGGTGCATTCGGCACGGGAGTAGTAGGCACACGAGTTGAACCCGACGAAGGCGTAGAGGGATACTGCATGGTGACAGGTGTAGGTAGCAGTGTGTGACAGGGGGGGCTTTGGCGAGGAGGTTTGCACTGGAACCGGCGGGCAGATAGGCGGCGGCGGGCGGGGCGGGAGGCGGGGCGGGGAGGCTGACATGGAACTGGCCCGCCGGCCGCGAGGATTTATACGAGTCATGTTGTGTTTGTATGGGACCGCGGGTGCTGGCGATGCCAAACAAAGATGCCCGCAGGCGGGGGCGCGGTCGAGGCATGCGGTTGTCGCAGCCCCGACGCGCGTCGGTGATGGCGAACCCGCCTTATCGACCGCCATCTGTCTGCCTGGCGCTTCCAAGCGTCGGCATGGCGCGACTTGCTATATCAGGATGCGCGCCCATTACCATATGGGGCAATCACGCGCCCTCCGCGCTTCGCGCTCACCTCGTGGTGCGTCCTCGAGGCCAGCGTGTGACGGCGCGGCCTGCCATATCAAGGCCCCGCCTTGTGTGTGTAGCGGGCGCGGTGTGACGATCGATGGTTATCGTCCACCAAGGCCGCGCCGCCGCCCGCATACGCCGCAGAACAATGCTTCATGGTTGTTGTCCGCCGCCGCCGAAGGCGCACATACTTCGGACTTCCCTGCACCGTATGATAGCTAGTCCCGTCCGGGGAGCAATGGTGCGCCGTCAAGTACTACGGACTTCAGCTTCAGCCCAGAAATGAATACGGGTACCTGAACCGTAAACATTATGTACAGGTGCCGAATGCGAATGCCCATGAAGCGTTGTGCCCAACACATGTATGAAATCCATACTAAGAGACTTGGATAGAGGGCTGGAGCAGGAACGAACGACCGATATATGGTGTAACCGTGTAAAGAGAGTCAGGCATGCACGAGCCCCGGGGGACGCACCAGAGCTTATCGTGTTGGCCCCACCCCGCCGGCCCCTCCGTGACTGAGGACACTGAGTTGGACCAAATATGCTCCCCGTCATCGTCACCCACGTACATAGGGAGGACCATCCTTGTGCCGTGCTTGTACACGCAGTGCCGTCATATAGAACTTGAATCGGGGCTGTCGTAGTGCTTCCAGCAATAGTATGATGTATCAAAGAAGGCCTTTCAATGAGGAGAATCGGCCTCATGGAGAGCTCAAGACTGAGTGAGATCAGAGTTATGGATGTGCAGGTCGTTCAATCGTGACCGTCGTTACATGGATCAAAGATAGGCGCCAGTAAACATCCCACAAGCGCCCATCCAGATGTTAACGGTCCATTATACCCACAAATATCAAAGTATACTTTCTGCCGACGGCCTAGTAGAGCCCTTTGCATTCTTTGAAGTTCGGGTCGTCCAACGCGCTTTACTTATGATCTCGCAGAGTCTCGAGCATCCGCCCTCGAGCAAGCTACTGTGTCGAAGATGCCATATATGGCCATGATTACCTAACACCAAAGTCGACCCCTTCGGTTTCTCTCGTCATCCTTCCTCTCCTCCACTGCTGGCTTTCTCGCACTGTTGCTTTGCCTTGTCATCTATCGCGGCAGGGGCGGAAACTGCATGCAAGTCTTGCCAGAATGCTCGCCAAGTCACTCCCCGTTGCAGGACGTTCCCGGCTATTTCATACTTCTCTGCCCACCTCTGTTTTACAGCAGAAACACCTCCCTGTCCCCGAGAACAAACACCCCAAACCCACCAGGCTGCTCCAGGAGCGGGATACAAATGACCTTGCTGCGCAAGCCAAGCAGGAGGCTACCGCGCAAGATGGTGCGTTGGGCGTATATCTGTGACAGCTCTTCCTCATATGCCCGCAGAGATAAAGCGCAACGAAGTCGGTGTGCAGCTCCTCTCTCGCCAGTTGCACCGGCAAGTCTTCCGCAACACGCACTTTCCCTCTCCAGAACCTTCCTACGTCCGTGTCGCTCAAGACCACCTTAAAACGCACGGTCTCGATCCCATGCAAGGGTCTGTTCTCCCTAACACCGCGTTCACACTCCCCCCGCTGCAAGGACGCAATATCGATGAACACTTTCACGCAATCGGCGCAGGCGCAGCACAACCCTGGCTTTCCCTCGCGAAGGACTTCGCGAACTCGGAGCTCCCACCGAGACCTGACCACTGGAACATCCAAGCGGGATGGACGCGCTATCTCTACCACCCAGACGGCTCTAGCTACTACGAGCATGTGGACCACCCCGAATTCAACGGCCAAGCGGAGGATATGCTTGTGTTCGACGTGGAGACTTTGCCCAACTACAGCCCGTACGCCGTCATGGCGTGTGCCGCCTCGAAGAACGCGTGGTATTCCTGGATCTCGCCGTGGCTACTGGGGGAGACGGAGGATCTGCAGCAGCTGATCCCCATTGGCGATAGTACGGTACCCCGTGTTGTGGTCGGGCACAATGTGTCGTATGACCGCGGCCGCATCCTCGAAGAGTACAACCTCGAGGGCACCCGCACGCGTTTCCTCGACACTATGGCGCTGCACATCGCTGTGAAGGGCATATCGTCGCACCAGCGGCCTGCGTGGACAAAGCACCGCAAAGCAAAGGAGAAGGCGCTTCAGCAGAAGGAGGAGGCCGTTGAAGCCGTCATGGAGCTCATTCGCCAGGGCGAGGAGCGCCTCCTCTCGGAGACGGATCCTGCGAAAGCGGAGGAGCTCAGTCGGCTACTCCGAGACTTGGAGGATGGACTGCCGTCCCTTCAGTCTGAGATGCTAGACGAAGCAGACGAGGAGGAGCTTTCCTCCAGGCGATGGGAAGACCTAACATCCGCGAACTCACTTGCGGATGTCGCCAAACTGCATTGTGGTATCGAGATGGACAAGGAGATCCGCAACGACTTCATGAAGTGCACAAGGGAGGAAATCCTACAAGGCGTCCAGGAGTACTTGAACTACTGTGCGGGTGATGTCGCAGTCACGCACGCGGTCTTTTGCAAGACTTTGCCGGCTTTTCAGGCCGCGTGCCCCAGCCCCGTCTCCTTTGCGGGTGTGCTGACTATGGGCTCCAGCTTCTTGACGGTCGACGAGCAGTGGGAGGAGTATCTTGCCAACGCCGAGGGTACGTATAAGGAGCTCGAAGCGAAGGTGCAAACGAAGCTCCATGACCTGGCATATCAAGCCAAGTCCATGATGCGAGACGAGAGCTGGAAGTCAGACGTATGGCTTAGTCAATTAGACTGGACTCCAAGGATCGTTCGTGCGAGTCGTGGCGCCGATCCCTCCATGGTGAGCCAGCCTTTTGATCAGACAACAGCTTCGTCATCTAAAGGCATGCTAGAACTCCCGCGCCGTCATCACCGCTGCAGACAAGGTGGTGCCTGCATGGTATGCCGCATATCTTAAACAGGGTCCTTTATCGAGAGAGTTCACAAGACGCATCCTGCCGTGGCTTATCCGGCCCCACTATGACGGAGTGCCCATGCAGTGGTCAGAAGAACATGCTTGGCACTACGTATCACCGTCAGGCGAGATTTGCTATCCGTTAAAGAAGGGTGGCAACACCTGGCTCATAACGGAGATGTTCGGACAAGTATTCGGGACGTACTCGCTCGATAGCGGGAGGCTGGTGACGGACGATGACGAATTGACATGGGCGGTCTCAATGAAGTACAAG